TTCCCAGGGCCGTCTAATCCCCAACCCGAGGCTGCACCCTTCCCCGTTCAATACAGGGCACACAGCAGCACCCCCCTCCCCTTTCACACACACCCACACACACACACATCTAACATCCAGGGGAGACTGCAACTCGTCGGCTTTAACCCCACCTCTACCTCTCCGTGGAGATCACACACACACCCTCTCCGGGGGGCTGACTACAGACTCTGCATCCCCTTCACCTATCCCTCGGGACCTGCAAGGGGGAGCTCGCCTCCGCTCCTCCAGGAGCCCCGCGCCCCCCACCCCGGCCAGAGGGCTGCATCTACCCCCCAGGGAAACTTCAACCATCACCCCCCCTCTACCCAAGGAGATCACACGCCCCAAACCTGCCCTGCGGGAGATTGCAACACCCCCCCCCTCCGGAGCTTTACCCCCTTGGCCTAATCCTGAGAGGAACTGCGCCCCCCTGCACCCAGGGGGCTGCCCCTCTGGCAGGGACTGTTTACCCCGAGCTGGGGCGGATTGTGCTGCCCTGAAGCGCTCCCCCCCGTGGTGCCAGAGGAGACTGCATCAGCCTCAAGCGTGTGTGGCCTCCGGGGGGGGGGGGGGGTAGCAGAGCCCTTCCCACTCTTTGGTCCCCTGATTTGCAGTGTCACGCCCCCCATGCATCTTATTCGGCCCCCTCCCGGGGCCACGCTTCGCATCGTAATGCGGGGGGGGGTGCTGGGGGGGGTGGGAGAGCGGCTCTCCGCTCCCCCTGCCCTCTCAATTTCCGGTGAGAACAGCCCTTCCCAGCCTGCGTCCAATCACATCCCCGCTGGGCGCGGTTTTGGAATGACGTAGCGATGGCGGGAAAATCAAGCGTGGCGGGGGGGATTTAAATAGAGCGAGTCGCAAGAGCGACGTAGGGGAAGAGGGGTGGCGGCTCTGGGGAAGGTAGGCGGGATGGACGCAGCTGAACAGCATCCCAGACGTGCTGAAGACTTCGGACCAAAAAATCCGTCTGAAAGGAGGACTCTCTGGGTTAGGGAATAACAGTTCCCTCAGCTGCAGAAAACAGCTTCGACAGGAGCAGCACCCTAGAATCGACTATAAAACTCCAGCGTAGAAGCAAAAGGAAAAGCACTCGCTTGCCACTAGATCAGAGGCCCCTGGTGGCAAATTAGGGCTGGTGGAGCCTTTTTTACTACACCCTGTGGGCAAATACCAGTTTAATACACGCTGTACTCCTACAGCGCCCTCCTTCAGAGGATCTCAAGGGACCTTAGAAACATCACTTAACTTCTCTGATAGCATTGAGAGAGCGGTCCACATCATTTACAGATAGGAGAAACTGAGGCACAAAGAGGAAAAGGACCTGGCTCAAGATCACATGGTTCGGCTGTGGTATAGCTGGAATTAGAACCCAGATCCCCTGACTCCCAGGCTTGTGCTTCTGCTTAACACCATCTTTCTCCTCACATCAGACCTCAGTTGGGCCAGCGAGTACCCTCTGTATCCTCTTCAACTGTGCACATTTTAACCTGTGGTGGATCTTAGGCAGCAACAAATCTCAGGCTTGAAATTGTACTAGGGTGTGGAGCCATCTAAGCTCCACAGTGGTTTACAGGAGACAACTCAATGGAAGACAGCTGAAGCCCATCAAGAGCTAACAAGCTATAATTAAGGGACTTTAAAGGACCAATATGAATACAGAACTACTGCTCTGTATCTGTTGTCTTATCCATAAGCACATGGCAAACATCTCAACTTGACAAGCCACTGAAACTTGATGAGATTGGACTACATTGGAGTGTAACAGAACACATTAATCCAATAGATTAGCTTCCTGTGCAGAAGCATGTCTCCACAAAACATTTTGCTAGAACTAAGCTAGTTGCTAGCTAACACTAGTTCTCTCTTCACTAATGTCAAATTAGTTACAAGAATTCCTGGTCCTGTCCAGTGATTTTAGCAATTCTGAACAAGGACTGTGTATATGCATATACGGTGCCCAGTATATTGTGGGGACTAACCGAACTAAATGACACAGACCTTGTAAACTGAATATATTATTAGGTCACCAGTTCTCACTTAAGAGGGTTAGCCATGAAAGGCACAAATCATTAGGGAATACAAATTTTCCTCCCCATTTTATTTGTTCCTCTTTACCATTAAATCAGATGAAAGCTGTAATTCTAAAACAAAGCACTAAAAAAAACTACAGGTTGAGATTCAGTGCTCTGACCCCCAAGCTATGCAGCACAGAAGGCACAGCCTGTGGACAAGTGGGGGCAAAGATGGTTGCACCCTTGGGATTCTAGCCTGCTGCAGCCCACAGGATAAATTAGGCTGCCATTGGGCTGTGTCACAGCTCAAAATTTACATTAGGCCATGCACTATGGAGATGGTCTTAGCATGGGCCCTGCACCAAGGCATACAAAGGAGGTGGCTTTATGGTGTACCTGTGCCAGGGGAATTCTCCCCCAGCCTCTTGCAGCACAAGTTCTGCCTCCTGTATGCCACCAGAGCAGTGCACAGAATGTGTCCCGTACTGTCAGAACCAATGTTTCACTGACAGGTGATAGCAATCTTTGATTTCTAAAATGATCTTTTGTAAGAGTGTTGACTTTACATACCTTGAAGTTAAGACAGTTCTTGGGAAGCAGAAAGCTTTTAAATAAAGACAAGACAATATTCTTACCAAAGAAATGTATTTGCATGTAAATAAACATGTTTTTTCTTTTTTTTGCAGTATTTCCAAAAAAGTTGAAAGTACACTCTACATTGAAAAAGAATGAAAAATTAGCAGGAAGTATTTACACGGTTGCCCACAAAAAGCAGATTTGAAGACACTTATTTACATAATGACCATTTAGGAAAGAACCATTTTCTTTTAATCTCAACATCCATTTCTTAACCTGAGATTAAAAGATTTGCCTTTTTAAAAATTTTTAAGTTTACACTTTTATCTTTCCAATACTGAAAGATGTAAAATATCATAGAGAATAACAAAAATATTTTAAAAATAAAACATTTGTAAGAGATCAAACATTTACATGTAAAATGTTTGTGTAATATTGACAAGTGTACCTCATCTCTGATCAGTGCAACAGAAGCATCATGCAACTATT